CTGCTTTCTCCCCTCTTTCCTCATAATCATCACTGATTGTTAGAGCTCTAATGTTATGGGTAATTTAAGGAAAGTGGTATTGATGTACTGCTGAGCAGCTTCAATACAACATACTGGAATTCAATACAACAGAAAACCATAGGACTGGGAGAACAAGCTCATCGGTCTTATGTCACCACTTTCACCTCATGTGAACACATCTCATGGAGGTTTTTGTTGCTTTTTATGGCCTTGTTGATCGGTAGTAGCTCAAAATAAGGGAGGCTTATGAAGATCGGGGATTTCACCAGTCTTACCGAACTATGTTTACGACTTTAAGTTATCCTTTCGGGTGGGAAATATCGGAGACAAACTATATTTAACTGGGTAAACATGTGTAGAGATGGAAAAGGAGGCATCAACAGCCTAAAACTGTAAGCTTAGGATTATTTTAGGAGGAAACACAAAAATAAAAAAGAAACGAATTTGTTAGACACTTTGTTTATATGCTTATATAGCCAAAAAACAACAAAAAAAAACCCCAACAGATGCTAAAGGTTATTTTGCTAACATTTTTTAATTATTTCATACGCTGGCACCCTGTTTTTAACATAAGTGAAAAACATGGAAAACAGATGGAGTTAGCTGTCTAATTAACATGACTCGATATTTATTAAATATTTTTAGAATTTGTCCCACATATTCAGCCATATTCATTCACGTCTGGGACCTGACGTGAGATGAAAAAACAGGACTTACCATATACCATATTCCCAAAATAATGGTGCCTGTTCGTACATGGCAGCAGAGGCAGCAGCTCGTCGAGTACCACCGGTCCCACGGCGAAATCATCTTTTTGTCCACACACTGAATTTCAGGTTATTTCATGAATGCCGTCGAAAACAACTGACTAGTCAAGGCTACGATAACCGAAAAAAGGTGGGAAAGATAACGTCTTCGTTGCTAGGACCGCCGCCACATCCAGCGTCTGTTTGAGGAGATGTTTCAGCAAGTGGGAAACACAGAAACAGAGAGCCGTTAATCTGGCTCACCCGGAGTCACGTGACCACGGGAGGATTTTTTTTTTTTTTGGCCGGGATGCAAACGCTTCATAATCACGAAATGTTTCAGCAGCTCTTTGTTTGTCCAGTTTTATCTTCCACGACACATACAGCTTAATTTTATTTCCTTTGTTAAAACAACCAAAACGTTAAGTAATAGAAAAAAAGTAGAAAAAGCTCAGCATTAAAAATAAGAACAAAACAATTCAACAGTTCAACGACCTTAAAAGTCAATAATTAGAACAGCCACCTATATTCTTCAACACAGCCATGAACTCTCTTAGGTAAACCTTCTTTTCATGTCTTTAAGTAGTCTTTAGTAATAGTTCTCCAGGCTTCCTGAAGGCCTTTTAAAGCTCTTCTACCTTTTCTTACCTTTTGTTACCTTTTTTTGTCCCACACTGCTTCAATAATGTTGAGCTTTGGGAAGGCCAATCCATGACTGATTTAAATCAGATATTTCAAATATGGATTCACCACAGGATCTGTGATTGCAGATTTTTTTTTTTTTTTTGGCATACCTCAGCCATTTGTCCCCGTTTCCCTTCACTATTAAATGTCAAACTGAGTTGTTTTTTTATTGATGATAAATGATGTTTTTTACGACAGACTGCTAGTATTACAGTAATACTGCTAGTAAAAGAGTACAATCAACAGATACAATTCAAATTTATTTCTTTGGTAAGATGTTATGTGTAGACAGCTCAGGTTCATCCCTTGAGTTATGTGCCTTTTTGTGTTTAAATGATTCATAGGTCAGTGTTAAGTAAATTAACAAACAAAGAACATTCCTCTGAACATGGTCAAGTACAAGGAATGGACTTAAAGAGAAAATGCACCCAATGTCCAAATAAAAACTTTGAAAAACCATCAGAAAGCCTATTGCTCACGACCATTTAAAAAAAAAAGTAAAAAAAAAAAAAGTGTGGCTATGCCAAAAACATTACTGATTCATCACTGATTTGTTTTTTGTTGTTGTTTTTTTTTAATATTTTTTCATTATTTCAGGTTTCAATATATAAATTTCTAACTAAATCTGTTTAATCAAAAAAGCATTGTGTTCAGAAAAAGGAACAACAGGTCAAGAGAGACCGTCACGGCCCTCTTTTTTGACACCATATGCTTAACACTGAAACCAAAAGAGATAATTTCATTGCACCATTTTTTTCTTGCTTAAACAAAAGCCTCAAAAACCTATAGATTGATGTGCTTTTTGTAATGTTAAGAGCATGAAACTCCAGTTAATCTTGTGCCATTTTGTCTCTGTCTGTGCAAACATCACAGACCAAGCCTGACAGATGGGCCAGTGACCACAGCTCTGCTAAGCTCCAGTGGGTGGACAGCATCATCGGCACATTAGGGGATTTTCCTCTTCTGCTGCCATGACTTAACACCGATCAGACATGCTGGAATAAGACAAAATCTCAAAGTCATGGTCCCATTTTCCAGGCTGAATAGATTTTCCATATTAATTGTGAGTGTGTCGGAAGTTTTATTATACAAAGGAACGGTCCAACTGTCTATTCTTTTTTAGAATAGATGAGCAAGTTGCTATGTTCTTGTTTCAGTTTGTAGCTGAATCAGACCTCTGCATTTCAGACACAGGGATAGATTTTTTTTAAAGCAGCATTAGCAAATGCTTTTCATAGCAAGGCTTTTAGCAACCACAGTACCATCCATTACAGAGTGACCTTCTCTATTAATACATCTGCCTCTCATACACACACACAAAAAAGAAGAAAAAACCCCACAACAATCCCCCCAAAAAAGGGAAGAATGGGGAAAAACCATGATGGTCCACTGAAGTGAATGCGAATGGACAGTGAGCCAGAGATTGTGAGAGATTAAAAGCCGGCAAATCCTAAATGAACTGAGGATGGAGAGAGATGAAGCGAAGGAGGTCAGGCTCTGTGAGCGTGCCACGCGACTGCCTAACCACATTGACGGATGCAGTGTTTTGGCCGCAAGAGGGTCACTGTAGCCAGGGTCTGACAGAGTCCTGACTAGTGACACAGATTTGTACTGTAGCAAGCAGTGAGTCCTCACTTTAATCATGCCAGAATTGGGATTACTTTGACGGCAAACAAACTACATTAGAAAGAAAATACGAACAACAGGGAACTGTTAACAACTGTTAACAACAGTAAACAGAGTAATGGTACCATTGAACATTAATTATTGATTTAGCCATTCCATACTTGATGGTTAACATGGCACTATTAGTAATACTATTTCTATGTTTCAGTGTCACTGACTACCATCTGTATAGGCTACATATAGCAGTATATAAACTATTAACTGCTAATATGAAATATGACATTTCTCAAAGTCTGCACTTGGATAAAAGTTTAGCTCTCTGGCAGAGTGAGTGCTTTTTAAAGGCAGTTTTTATAAAAGAAAGCTTGCGGTGTTCCACAAGGCAGTAGTTAAGGGCTACTTTTATTTTCAATTTTTTGAAAAGTATTTTGAAGATAATGTCAAAAAAGTATGCATGTTGATGATGCAACATATGCATCACCTAAATTAGTAGTAAGGAAAATTTATGTGTTGGACTTGCAAGGCATTACTAAAAGGCTGCAAATTAATAATACTATATAGTTCATATATATATATCAGATCTGGAGCATGCTACTGGCTGATCATCTGGTCAAGTGCTTTTTAAAAAACATCTTAAAACCCCCTCCAAAATAAAACCCTGAAATTGCATTGAACAGAGCAGCCAGCTCTTCATTATTCTTGCTGTACAAATGTTTACAAGAAGCATAAACAGCTATCCTGGCTAAATGTGGAAGATAAATTTAAGGCAAGCCTCCTGGTAACCATGCAAACTGTTTTATGGAATCATACAATAGACTTCTTTCATGATGCCATACACTCACTGGTCACTTCAATAGGTGCACCTTGGTAGTCCTGGGTGCGACCCTCTTTTGTCTCCTGTACAGTCTTAATTCTTTATTGCATAGATTCAACAAGGTGCTGGAAACATTGCACAGATATTTTGCTCCCTATTGACATGATAGCAGTGGCTGCAGATTTTGTGGCTGCACATCCATGATGTGACTCCATCTTTCCACTATGCCTCAAAGGTGCTCTCTATATGTTTGAGATAAGGACTCAACATGGTCAGCAACAATACTCAGGTAATTGTGGCATTTAAATTATGCTCAGTTGGTACTAAAGCGCCCAAAGTATACCAAGAAAACATATCCCACACCACTACACCATCACCAGCTCAACAATTGATACAAGGCAGGATGGATCCATTATTTCATGTTGTTTACATGAAATTCTGACACCACTATCTGAAAGCTGTAGCAGAAATTGAGACTTATTAAATCAGGCAGTGTTTTTTGGTTCAATTTTGGTGACCCTGGTTATTTTGGTTAGCTGACTGGAGTGGCACCTCGCATGGTCTTCTGCTGCTGTAGCTCATCTGCTGTGAGATTTGAGGCGAAGCTCTTCTGCATACCTTGGTCATAATGTGGTTATTTGAGCCTGTCTTTCTCTGGCCTGCTAACTGAATATTTTCTCTTTTTTTGAACCATCTTCTGTAAACCCTAGAATAGTTGGTTGGCACCACCAACCATGTCACGTTCAAAGTCACCTTTCTTCCCCATTCTGATACTCATTTTGAACTTTGACATCTCATCTTGACCATTCCAACATGTGTAAATGAGTTACCGCCATGTGACTAGTTGATCAGATAGTGTTAATGAGGCGTTAAACAGGTGTACCTAATAAAGTGGCCAGGGATGGTATGTTTTCGCATTTGGTTAATTTTTACATATTAAAGAAAAGTGGCAAAGCAGCTGTTTAAGGCACAGGTAATCGATCAAATCAACAATACACTTCACATGAGAATCTCATGTTAGGAGAATCTTTTTAAAAGAGTTAATAACACCAAAAACCTTCTTCACGATATGAAGGGAAGGGAAAAAAAACATTTCCATGACAATGTGATACAAGCACTTCTCATTTAATTTTCATCTTTACCAAACAAACATAGAAATTTCATTTTTATCTCCTCATTAAACAAAACCCTTCACAAAAAAACATTTCCTAGAGACAAGTATATAAATACGTTGATTGAGTCATCATCATATTCATCAGTAAAAATTTAACAAAAGGGCACCTGAAACCACAGTGACATATCACTTTATCCTCTGCAATCTACCAGGTCTACCAACAACTACCACCATCAGCTGATCGACGCCTTGATGCACTACATCTCACAAAAACATGGTAATATCCCCTTAAACTGGATGCCCACATGAAAGCTGCAATTCGTCTCCATACAGAAAGCTATTACAGTATAGATACTGAGTGGTACTATGAGTGGACCAAGTACTAACATTTAAAGCAAAAGTTTGATCACTTTATCTCATTCTATTATCAAAGTCATGCAAAATTAAATCAATTCTGACACCAAAACTTGCAACTGGATGGAAACTATAAAAAGGACTCCAACGCACTTTCTATACAACTACAAGTTAAGGCAATGGAATTAAATTCCTTTTATATATGTCTGTAATTCTGTGAGTGTATGTATGTGTGTGTGTGTGTCTTGTTTAAAATCAAATAGATGTGGAGTTAAAGCTGCTCCACGTCATATCTCTAAGTATATCCTCATTCTCAGTTTAGGTCAAAAACATTTAGCCCATCACACATCTTGGAACAAAGGTCCAAACTAAAAAGATTAAAATAGTTCACAATATGCAAAAGATGATAAAAACATTTCTTCAAAATCAAAAGGAACCAAATACAGCCTTTTGCACAGTGCAATTACAGAACTGGAAAAAGCCCTTACAATCTGTACATATGGCATGGCTTTTTCTAGCACAAAAGTGGAAGAAATGTTTAAAAAAAAAATCACAAGAGTTCAGAAGTGATCATTAGGTATGGAAAAAAATCTAAATACAATCCAGTCAGATAAAAGACAGACATACTCAGGGCGATATTGTTTATAAAAGTACAGGGATTACACATTTGTAGTCCTACTGCAGTATAGTTTAATCCCACTAGTAACTTCACAATACAGTGCCTCCCGGTGGTTCATATCAGTTACTGCAGCCTAGATGTACAGTTAAGTCTCCAATGGGGATCCAGAATCAGTTGTTTAATATCAAAAATCCAATCTGTCATTCAAAAAGACTATATATCATATCATTTACTAACTTTCAGCCTCCCAACATTTCCCTTCTGACACCCTGAAGCTCAGACAGAAGTGTTTTCATTTATTTGTAGCAAAGCTGGGTTTTGTGCATACAGTTAGACAGGTGTACAGTTAGGAGTTGGACAGTAATGGCTGTGCTTCTATGGCTAAGATGCCTTTCACACCAGTGTAACTGACATTGACCACAGCTGCCACTCATTCAGTCATTAAAAGCACAAACTACACACCCTACAGCAGAGTGTTTTCACTCAAATGACAGAAATATTAGACAAAAGAATACACAAACCTATCTCAAAACAATACTCACATGCCATATGTATGCTGACAGAGCCGTGAGTTGTGGTTCAGTCACGCAAGAGTAAAAAACAGGACAGCAGCCTCTTTTTAGGGTTGCCTGGTGATTGGATTTATTTAATATTTATGTTGGTAACGACTGCAAGTAGTTGTGGTGACCAACTGGTCGCCCAGAAATTGAGCATGGAACACCCTCAGCCTCTGGGCGACCACTTTCATTCGCAAATGTGTCTTCAAACAAACATCATTATTCTCAGACAGATTGCTGAAGGTTTTAGAATGATGTTGCAATTAATCCAAGTCAGTCTGCACTGATGGCGATGACACAACTCTTTCCAGTATAGGACTTGACTAGGCTGGTTTTCACCTGGTTGTATTCCTATATAAAAGCAAAGTTGCCAAGTGCCTATATCATTTTGCAGCTACATCACTGTCCTGTAGCACCCATCAGTACCAATCAATGTGTCTAATGGTAGTAGTCACCTGAACACCCTTACAGCTCTTAATGACGGATGTCACATCAAACCCAGTATAAAGAGCAGGAGTATCTTAATCTGTCAGTGTACATATGGGCATGTGAGTGAGATAGGTATATTTCTCTGCTCCATAACCTTTCAATAACTCATAGGGGGCTGCTGCACAGAAATCAAAACAAAGTGCAACACTGTGTGGAACCAAAAAGTGTGGTGTTCTGGTAAAAAACAGAAAAAAAAAAAAAAAAATCACAAAAGAAATAAAAATTTAAAACCCGTTTTATTTTTTGGGGTTAACAATTACATACACTCTCAGAGGGGGCAAATAAAGTCTCAAAACAAAACACCTTTGCTGTCATTAAATATGTACCTCCACTAAAAGCCCACCTCACCCCAAACTCCACTCTGTTTGCAGTATAGCAAATAGTGCAAATTAGTTAAGTTTTCAGTCCATAGGACTACATTTCATCTCTGAATTTCGCCAAGCAGGTGATACCTTCCACCTGTTTACTTTTTTGTTTGTGAAACTGATCTCTGAACTGTGTACCTGGTAATTATTGCATGTGACACGTTTAACAATCATTTGCATATGCTTTGTCTGGACCTGTGAGGTGAATTTATGTCTCCCTTCGGACCTTTTTCTTCTGGGAGAACTTCGGAGGCTCCGCAATCTGCTCTGACCTCTCTGCACGGAGATGAAAGAAAAAAAAAAGTTTTTCAATTGAAATTTAAGGGCATCCAGTTACAGAACATTTCCTCAAACAAAAGTAAATTCAACAGTGTTTCAACAATGTGTATTATTCGGTTTTCACACGTGCTCTGAATAAATGAGCTGATTGACTGAACAGCATCATGTGGGATGACTAACAATACACTCAGCTGGTCTGCATGTTTCCTGTGTGAGTACATTCATTAATGTAGAGACAAAGGAAAAGGCTGCACAGGCTGCTAAAATAACCCTACCGTAATTACAAGAAGAGCTGGACAGAGTAAAACAGAAAAGGTCTTAGATTTTTTTCTTCAAAAAAAGTCAACCAAAGTTAAATCTTACATTTTCTTAACTTGGGACTTTTACAGTGTTGGGCCAGAAAAATTTCAGTATTATTAATTTGTCACATTAACGACGTGTCATTATAGTAAAGTTGACCAAGTGTCTTTCCAATGTAAGCTAAATCTCTCCTAAAGTTTAAATGAGCTGCCACTGTCAGTCTGGGTTGCTGTGGGAAAGCAGGGTTGGCCTGTAAGGCAGGGTTAGGAGAGGTGTGTTGACAAGTTGGTGCCGCCCTTCTGGCAGCTGTAAAGAAGTACTGATTAGTGCATCCGATAGAACAGCAACTCTCTGGGATTTTAGCTAAGTGAAACTGAAAGATGTTCAATGGATGGCTGGAGGGCAAAGGACCGCAGTACTGCTTTTGCCCGCCAGGTGGGCGTGTCACGTGATAACTATGAAATAATGACCTTGGGTATATACCCACAGATAGTGACTTGTGTTTAAATGAAACCTAAACAAGCCGCTCTTAGAAATGATTACAACACAGTGAACACAGATTTGGAGTCAGAGATGTTGAAACCTACTCTGAGTGGAGGTTATGCTGGCATTCTGCCTTTTGGAGGGCAGTGCAGGAAGCTCTTGGGGTTTGGGTATTGTGTTGACTACGTGCGCCGTGCTCACCGTCTACAACCCAAGAAATGATTATATTACAACAGGTTAAATATTCACTTGAAGACCTGATTTTATCAGCTTGGTTTGGTTTATTACCTGAGCGTCAGATGCAGCCTCCTCTTCTGTTTTCTTCTTCTTTTTCCTCTTCTTTTTCGATTTGGCTTCTCCGCCGGACGGATCCTCTGTGTCCCTCTCATCCTCCAACACCTGACGCAACAATAAGACATACAGATCAATTTATGTGAAGCCTATAATAGAAACAATACAGTAAGAAGCCAGAATTAAAACAAAACAAAACAAAACAAAACAAAAACCTTATTGGGGACAGGCTGTTCTTTCTGCACAGGAGCTGGTGTCACCAACACGGGGGGCTCTTCATAGTTTCCCCAATGCTCCACTGGGGCATTCCAGTCAGAGCTGGGATCTGCTGCTGCCATCCCATCTAAAAAAACAAATCACACAATACAGATGGAAGATAGTTAGATGGTAAAAACCTGAAGAATCTTTTTAGGAGGATTTGATGCATAGCTACTTACTGAATCCTGACCATTCATCATTAACCTTAGGGCGGCTTGCCCACTGCAGATCCACTGAATTTGAAATTGGATCTGTATGAGACAGAAGGTTATTTGTTCATTTATTTATTTTAATGAGGGACGTAGACTCATTAATCTAGCCATGACAATTATCAATCAATCAATAAGCATCCACACTGGAAGCGATTAATCGCCTTGAAGCTGATGGCTGGTTGCTTGCAGACATTTCTGTATCTAGTTGCCTTGGTAACCCTGTAATGTATTTACTGCCAGGTCACATGCCAATCAACGGCATCACGAGCTTTCATTGTTAGTCACTTCAGTTCCGTCATTTGTAAGCCTTATCCTGGGTCCCGCCCACTCTGTGCTGGCAGCAGCACTTATTTTCCCGAGTGTCACCGACTCGCTTCCAGTGTGGACACAGCTGAAAGGTCTGGTGTGTGACTGGGTGACAAACCTGTGGTGTTTAGTCCCAGCATGGAGAAGGACACTGGGCTGAGGTCAGGCTTTATCCGGCCATCAATGCCACTCCACGCTGTTGCTGACAGCACACAGAAAGACAGGTTATGCTGGTGGAATGCAAACAAACTGCAGCGGAGATTAAACGTTAACAGCATGGTTTCTAATATGAGGCTGGAGTATCTTGTCTTTTTTCCACTGGCACGTTTTCTTGAACACCTCACAGCATGAAATCCAGTCTCCTGGAGATAAAATAACTAAATAAATCAAAATCACATTATACACAAAGAAAGGTCTACTCTAGTTTTACCAAACATCCTGCTCAGTTTCATGATAAATGCACTGTGTTTACCTTGGCAGGCTTACAGTGAGCTTGACATCCACAAGGTTTGTCTGACAATAATCCATCAGGACAAGCCGGGTTATTACTTGGGCTGCCCTTGTTGAGGCAGCAGTTAACTCAAGTTTAAATTTTCAAAGATTTAACCTGCTGTCATAGCTGCTTACTAAATGTTAGCTCAGGTTATAATTTCATTAACAGACTGTCTTTATTTTCACTACACCCTGACCTTATGTCAGTGGTGCCAGTGCTGTGACAAAGCCAGTTCTGTCTCAGTGTCTTCTGAGAACTAGCCCACACTTGGAAAGCATTAAGAAATGATCTTTACATAGAATTTAGAGGATTTGTGGGCTACATCTGCCAATTATTGATGAGTTTCTTGCAGTAGGGTCTCTCACAGCCACTGAGTTTAAACTGCTATGCCTGCGCCAGCTTTTCGACCTGGTTTTATTCTCTCTTCTGCTGAAACTGATGCTAGATTGACCACCAGAATCTGCACTAGTGGAAAAGGGGCAAAGGTCATTTCATTTCATTATCAGCTCTAATGTTTCGTGTAGAGAGAAATCTCCTCCAGTATGTTCAGTCTAGAATCTCTTATGTCATACAAACTATTAATATCTACATTTGTGGTGTAAAAAGGTTTACTCAGATCTAGATGGTACCTTGTGACTCCTGAGCCCACGGCTGGGGTTCTGGCTGGCCCCTGTAATGTGTAGCTGCTGAGATAGCACTCCACTTGTTTCCCTCCATAGTGCTCATCTGACCTGGGATCTTCAAGGACATATCATTCCAGCCTCCACCATTGACCGAAGGTTCCTTCCTCCAGCTGGAGGAAACTGAGGGAACATGCAAACAGGAAAGACCATCAGAGTCCCTCAGTAACAGTTTTGTTCAAAATATGTCACAGGAGGGGAGTTCAGACCAGTTCACTGACAAGAAAACAACACTTACGAGCAATATTGAAATTTCACTGGACTGAGCAGCTTGAAAATCACCTCTGTGATACCTTAAAACTCTGAATAAGTTCACGTTTAAGAGAGCCTCATAAAAAAATGGTTTACCTTTGTCTTTAACGGCTTCACTGGCTGTATCTCCCTTTCCAGTGGTTCTTGAATGAAAAGACTCTGAAACAGGGTTGGAAACAGGGTTATTACCACATAATACTGTGTGATAATGCGGGTAGACTATATATCAAAATTGCATACTGAATATGCTACCTTCTTCTGTCATTTTAGAATAAAATACATTTGCCTTAATGCACTTAGTTGCTGCAATGTGACTGGCTCATTAGATACTTGTGTTAATGAGCACCTCAACAGGTGTAGCTAAAAGAGTGGTTGGTGACTATATTTAAACATAGTGAATTCCTTCTACATGAATACCATGGTTTCCTCTGTTCCTCTTGTTAACTGCTGCTGGTACAGTTGCCTCCACGTGCGTTTTTGATGCTTCCACACTTCCTGAACCGCCAGAGTCCTCAGGACCCTTTTCCTTCCTGCGCTGCTGCCTCTTTTCTCGGTTACTGACTTTTGTCTCCCACACACCTGGATGACACACACATACATGCACCCCAAAAATAACACGACATTCTAAGGGAATGTGGTATATATCGGACTATGAAGGATATTTGCTCATTACTATATTTTAAAGAGTCTGGCTGCAATCAGAATGACAGGACATGCATGAGAAGCACATTCTGCATAATATTAAAATGTCCTTTTGAAAATGAGAAGCTATTGTGACATTTCCGCCTCAACGGTTGAGCTGTACCGTCATCAGGTTCCTTCCCATCGTTTGAAGACAAAAGCTGAACTGGTTTCACATCTGTCTTGTTCTTCTTCTTGTTCTTCTTCACCTGCACCGGGGCTTGCACCTCCGGTTTCTGTGGACAGAAATAAAAGAACAATCAAGTTACCTCATAATAACAACTTTACTGCACTTAATGTCTTTTATTATTTATCATCCCAACAGTAGTCTCCAAATGTATTTTTTTCACTGCACAGAAGTGGAGTTTTAGCAGTATGTCACCAGTAATAAAACTATCTTGCAAAACATCAACAAAACTGAGCAATTCAGGGAAATGCTGCGCCTACTCTGCCCACCACTGGTTTCACATTTCCTTAATTTTGATCATACCTTCTCAGTTTTGATCTGTGCTGGCAGCTTAGAAACTGCCTCAGCCACTTTAACTTCCTCTTGAGCCACAGTCACTGGCTGCCCATTGGACTGAGACTTCTGGAGGGGTGAAAAGACACAGATAAGAAACATACAGCATGACAACCCAGAAAAACAGGGAGTGCTAAAGAAAATATCAACTTACTTAAAATAAAAACGACAGTTTTTGCGTCAACACTAAATTATTAAGCCTTATATGACTGGTTAATAACACACTTATTGTCTGTTAGCTTGTTTTAAAAGTTATATTTAACAGGTTAAACAGATTATCGCTTTCTAAATACGAGCTTCAAAGAAGCGCGCCTGGGTTGCGGACGTCTTTAAAACCATTTTCACTCATCAAAGCGAAAGTTGAAGCTTCAGGTGGCTAACGATGACGTATAAACTAGCTAGCTAAACAGGAGTATCAGGTGGTTGCAAACACCGATAACACCTTCCCTTTCTTAATAAAATACCCTACCTTCATCCATATGCAGTTAGATTACGGGTTTATTTTTGTCACTTGTAAGTGGGTCGTGGAATTGTCCCTAGATGGCCTAATTTGTGCTGTGTAAACAAAGTATACGACGAGCTATACGACCGTCAATTCATACATGCCAGGTAGCTAGCTGGCTAGCTAACGCCAAACTTAACCGCTTTTGTTAATAAAACAATAAAATAAGTGTCTAACTGAACTGTTTTGCAGAGGGAGCACTTAGGTTAAGGAGTTAAATGAACACCCGCGCGTGTTGTGACTGACTCGCTGTGATTAGACGGCTCGGTAAAGGCTGCTGAAGTGTTACTTCGGTAGCACATATACTAAAATTGGAACGATACAGAGAAGATTAGCATGGCCCCTGCGCAAGGATGACACGTAAAGGCTGCTGAACGTTGTGTGGACTCAGATGCTAGATTTTCCTCCTTGTTTCTCCCTTTTGTATGTGCTCATGGTTTTGTATATGTAATTGTATGTGTATGTGCATTTTATATGTAAACTTGTTTACTTTAAATAAAGTTAGCTTTAAAAAAAGACAAAAAAAAAGTAAAGGCTGCCTGCGGTACCTTTTCTACCGTTTTCTTTTTGTTCTTCTTCTTCTGCTCTTCTGGTTTGGCAGTTTTAGCGAAACCGGCCTTGAGGGGCTCACCGCCGCCGCCGCTGCTGCTGCTCCTGCTGCTGCCGTGTGTGACCGGGGATCCTCGCTTTTTCCCGGCGAGCAGCCCGCCGCAAACAGCGGCCCACGACAGACTGATCAGCAGCAGAAGACCCGCCGCGGCCGTGGACAGGATGACCCACGTCGGGTACAGCTCGGGCTTCAGACCCAAGTCAACCCCGAATCGAGCCCGAACATATCCCTGTCCCGAAGACAGCAGCTCCTTCAAATGGCTGGAAAGCAGCTCGGCTTTCTCCAGCGCAAGACCTCGCAAGTCTCCAGCCATCTTTCAAAATTGCGCATACACTAGCTGTAGCTATCATTTCCAGCGCCCGTGCTAACGGAGGAGTGGCTAATCTAATCTGACTGTTAACATCAAGGCTACAAACAGCAGCATATCAATACTACATCTGCTCAGTATTAAAAAGCTCACACTCACAGGTTTGTCCAGGACAGCATCATGCACTTACACGAGCCGCTCTGTAAGAACAGGAGCTTTTCTGTCTTACCCATGAATTTGAAAATTACCCATGCACAAAATACTAAAACACATATGCTATATAAATGACACCTGTCCCGAGGTTAAATGTACACGTAGTTGTTGAAAAAGTGGTTCCAAACAATTATTTAAAAATACAAAATAACAACTTAAAAATATAACAACTAAAATCAGTTACAACCCACTTTTTCTGCTTTGTGCTGATAGACTCTTGTAATTGTTAAGCCTTAAAAGAAAGAGATAAAACAGTGAGACGAAAAAGAAGTGACACAATCCAGTCAGGTGTTAACTCCAAAAACACTAAATCTTTGACAAATTTTGTGTTTATCCGATCTTTATGTCTAGATTGTGTCACTCTAACCAGTTTAACCCACATTACAAAAAGACAACAAATTAATTTTTTGAAATTTCTTTCTTTTATTTCATTTAACTGCATTTACCCTTCACTTTCATGCGTTATTACATTACACAGCTCACGTTTTATTTCTGAGAGAACACTAATATTAGCACTGATTTGCAACCCAGCTGCTCGAAATCCCGTGAGTGCACATATAAAACATTACTGTACAAACATGTTAACAACATACCGAATATTATTAAACAATACACCCGTGGTCCTGAGTATTTTGTTTGAGTTAGACTTATGTCATAATCTGTGAATTAAAAAAAAATCCATTCATCCATGTTATCTTGTGCAACACTGTTACTCTAATATTAACCCTGGTGCTTTATAATTTGAATAAAATAACCATAAATGTTTTTCTTAGCTCACAAGGGAGTAATCTATTGCCTTTGTAGCATAGTTTCAATTATTTTCTGAAAAGTGTACAAAAAAATGTATTCAACAAACACTCAAAGATAAATACTAAAATTACAAAAAAAGGTAGGTTCTGAAAGTTGTTTAAATGAATGAAACTGTATGAATATTTAGTATGACGGTGATTATCTTTAATTTAAAGGTTAATAATTTCTAAAACAATATTTATAAAGTCCACTTTTTCATGTCACAGCATACAGCAACCAAAGTATTGCATAAAAAGTGTAGCTTTGATGCCTGAGCTGAAATAATTTTTTTTGGATGGTTTATTATTTGTTCTTCTTACATGCATAAAAGAAATTTAGAAAATAGAGTCCTTTTTGAATTTTTGAAGCCCACATTGTCCACCAATCATAAAATGACCCACATCACATTTATTTCTTGTCACCTACATTTGAGAATAAGGCTGTTGTTGGTTCTCAGCTGTACAAACATTTACCTCTTGCATTCATTTACAACACCTACACATATTTGGCAAAATTTTTTTTTATTGTATTTTAAAAGTTAGAAAATATTAAAGCAATTTGCCATAGAAACAAGCAACACGAAGCAGAAAAGTAAAAATATATTCTGTGTTTTTATTATCCACAATGCTCAGTGAGGAAAGAAATACTATTTATGTCACCTCCCTCATTATTTTATCATGATGGCAAAATGTTGATGCTCACCCATTCTACTTATAAACTGTACTGGTTGCTAAATAATTCTCCATCTCTAATACAAAACAAAAAAAACATCCCAAAAAACAATAACAACAAAAAAAGAGTACAGCCTTCACTTCGTAGCACTGTATCAGTATTACAGTAAGACTTGAAAACCTCTGTTGTATAATAACTGTATGGAAATAAATAAATAGGTTGACCGAATGTAACAAATTTACAGTAACATGCCATGTCAGTTTTTAGAAGTCTGCGTCTAGTGTGAATTCACCGTCCATCATGCTCGACATGACTCCGAATCTTTGATACTCTGCCACCCGTTTCTCAAAGAAGTTGGTTTTCCCCTCGAGTGAGATAGACTCCATGAAGTCAAATGGATTTTCAGCTTGGTAAACCTTGGATTAAAAAAAAATGAGGAAAAAAGACAAAAATAGGTTTAATTTCACCCATTCCGGTGTGCAGAGGGTTTTGAACGAATGATTATTAGCATTACCTTGGTCAGTCCGAGATCAGTGAGAAGCCGGTCAGCCACAAACTCGATGTACTGCTTCATGAGGCAACTGTTGATTCCTATGAGATCTACTGGCAGGGCCTCTGTGAGAAACTCCTGTATATGAATAATAACGATTAGTGACTTATAGCACTGGTACGACCTATTAAGATTTTATTGCTTCAGAATGTCATGCTGTAAAGCAGCGGTGGGAAACTCCAGGCCTCAAGGGCCGGTGTCCTGCAGGTTTTAGATATCACCCTGGATCAACACACCTGAATCAAATGATTAGCTCATTACCAGGCCTCCTGAGAACTGCAAGACATGCTAAGAAGGTAATTTAGCCATTTAAATCAGCTGTGTTGGACACATTTAAAACCTACAGGACACCGGCCCTTGAGGCCTGGAGTTCCCCCACCCCTGCTGTAAAGCTACAACTGATCCACTGCAATGTGAGTTAGTGCAGACAAAATGAACAGGAATATGAGGTGAATAGCATTTAATAAGCAAGCATATAATGTATGTAATGTGTAGCATTAGCTGACCTGTTCGATGCTAACAGCTTTGGTGATGATGTCTCTGACTCTCTCCTCTGATGGCTTTTTCACCAGGTAGCTATACAGCAGGCAGGCAAAGTTGCAATGCAGACCCTAGCAAAGAACAAAAAAACATGTCAGAACAGCTGATCTGAAAAAATGTGTATTCATGGTGTACTTAGTCCCAGGTTTATTTTAGGAGACTTGTGTTTACACAACAGCATTTATTACATCAGCTTGATCTCAAGGAAGAACAATGATGGTCATGGTTGATACAGCACCCCCTGGTGAATTGTAAGAGAACTGCATGTCCAACAACTACTATTTTGTAATTGTTAATTAATAGGGTGATGATTAGTTTCAACACAGTGAATGCTGAGTGAAAGAAAACCGGGTGTCAGCAAGATGTAAAAGCAGTGTTTTCAGAGTCTGCCACCATACAGTCAGCATAAATGACCAAAAACTTGTTATATTAACTAGTTAGTTGATATGAGGCTCTTGATTTTTTATAACAATAAGATATTTTGAAAATCTGACTCTCAAAACAGCCAGTGCAGAGCTGCTGTTGTACAGTGTTTGCTATAACAGGGAAATATCTGTCTGAGGGCATTTTCCAAAGAGCGAGGTGAATGTGCAGTCATGACTCTGCTGCCAGCTTTGACAGTATATTGGTGTTTATGATTGCTGTTTAATCTTTCATGTTTATTCTTATCATTTGACTTATTTTTAAAGACCAATGTTGTCTTTACAGCATATATGAATTATACAGCTCTTATGAATTTGGCCGCTGAGGCTGCTGCACAAAGTTAAGGAGTCATACCAGTTATAAGCATGACAATGCAGGTAAGGGCAGACATACTGTTTCTATTTCTGAAGGTTTTCCACAGCAGTTCAAACTTATGGTCATTATGTGCATCTACTCATTTAGTCACATAAGACTGACAACAGACAAAGCTAGATGGAAAACACTCTGTGCTACGCTGTCATTTGGAAAGGAATAATTACATAGATGCCACACCTCCATTTTAAATATGAGCTGCTTCTCTTACCCACAAGTATGTCTGATTCGCTCACAACTCAGGGATACTTTCAACACATCAGAACACATATTTTTGTGCGTGAATTAGTCTCACCTCGTCCCTGCTAATGAGCTCGTTGGAGTAGCTAAGGCCAGGCATTAACCCCCTCTTCTTCAGCCAGTAGATAGCAGCAAATGAACCAGAGAAGAAGATGCCTTCCACAGCTGCAAAAGCCACAATCCGCTCCCCTGGGGCACAAACGTCAAAAATGACTGTTAAGTGATCAAACACGAGGTTCCTTCTAGGACAGTTTGATGTTATATTTAGTTTTCAGTTGTCGTGTTTTTGTCAAGTTTTGTTTCTCCCTTACCAAATGTGGATTTGCTGTCGTTTATCCACTGGAGGGCCCAGTCTGCCTTCCGTTTCACACAAGGCATGGTCTGAATGGCATTAAACAAATAGTCCCTAAAACACACAAACATGAAAACACATGAACTAAAGACTTTTTAATGTGTAATTATACTGTAGTAACAATATGTAGGGAATAGTTTATTTTGTTTGTCTTTAATCAAAGACACTCAGGAACAGGGTAAAAATAATGCAACAAGACTCATGGAGTTTGCTGAGTGTTTAGACTTAAAAGCATCTGTAAACAGTCTGTTGATGAGTGACATTTGTTGTTTGAAGGCACATCAAAGTTGCTGCAGCTGGGAAAACAACGGCAGTTACCGCAGAACGGTCTCGACTTAACCTGTGACAAACAGGTGCAGGAGTCTGTTCCAGAAACCAGGCTCAGTGAAAACTCTGAACACCTAATAAAGGTAACTTAAACAGTGGATCAGTCACCAGGTAGTTGCCTTTCTCTGACCCTTTCCCTCCTGCTGGGCCTGACACAGCTGTCTGACAAACTATTTAGTTTCCTCATTCAAAGCACAAACTGGAGAGCACTCATTTGCCTACGTTTACGTCTTTAGACTCTCTGAACATGCAGTGAACTATTTATCAGCTTTTAATCTGTCAGTGAGACAAGGCTGCAGTCTGAATATATTCTGGAAGCATTTCCTGTTGAACAGCTTACATGTCTTGAAATATAATAAATAAATGCTGCCAAACAAGACTTTTTAAAACAGATGTAAAACATTCTTACTAGGTGAGACTGACTTTACAATCAAAGATTAATTACAAGGCATCTTTAATGCATGCTTTCATGGTGCTACATGAATAATATTTATAAGCAGAATGTGATAGGATTCAAGTTTTATCATCCATTATGAAAAAATAAAGCTGGGTAAATGATGATTTGCTGGACTTTGCTGAATAAAATCTGACAGGCTGTGTATTAACTTCCTCAACTTCCTCTTTTTGTTCTGTAAACAACACACTCTGCGTTGAAATTTTAGGTCTACTGTATTTAAACCCCAGGTGCTACAGTTTGTTGTAAATCTCCAGAAAGTTTACAAAAGCAACTCATAGAGAAGCGGGTTAAGGATTCATACTTTCATTACAACATAAACACGACACAAAAACTATTTTCCGACTTGCTAAAATAAAAAATAAATAAAACAGAGCCACCACGAGTAACTGACCTCTCCTTCAGGTCCCTAATGTAAGTGTTGATGAGCATACTGTACATCTCTGAGTGGACAGTCTCTATGAGGATCTGAAAGCTGTAGAAGGATCGCGCTTCAGGGACCTGCACCTCCTGGCTGAACCTCTGCACCTGTTGTGTAGATTAAAAACATTTGCGATGAAGCGTGCAAGTCCCACAAAACACTTGAACCACACCAAGTAAAAAAAAAAAAAAATTTAGAGTGCCATCTGCATTTATGTTAACGCATCAAGTACGGTTATCTTTTGATAGCCATTCTTGATGTGTGACTTCATTTTTGAGGGCTTCTAGTAATATCAGTTTCATTAATTTTGCAGTTCAGCTGCCAATGCATCAAATGAGCTTGTTCTCAATCTACATGCAAAATATATATTCTTGAAATTTCTTTAGAGGCCTGCAAACTAGTCTCACCAGGTTCTCATTGACGATACCGTCGCTGGCAGCAAAGAAGGCTAAGATGTGGGAGATGAAGTGTTTTTCCTCTGCCTTCAAACGGTCCCAGTGTGCCAAGTCTTTGGATAGATCGACCTAAAAAAAAAAAAACCATCAAAAGCACACCTGTTTCAGTTCCTTCATTTCATGTGTGGATATCAATATGTGCACAGTGGAAAGTAGCAGCAGCAGCAACTGTCAAAACCTGATGGTTAGACATTGTTGCATTCAATATTTTCTTCCTAAGATCACTCAGTAAACCACTCAAAGTACAGTACCCACCTCCTCCACGGTCCAGAAAGAGGCCTGGGCCTGTTTGTACATCTTCCAGATGTCTCGGTACTGGATGGGAAAAATGACAAACCGCCTGGGGTTCTCTCGGAGCAGAGGTTCTTCCTCCGTCTCCAAGCCATTCTGGCAGGCTGTATCATCTTCTCTGAAGCCGTTCTGCAAACAATCCTTTACATTTAGTTTGGTGTCTGTCTCGTTTTTGTTGCATTTTTGACTCCTAGTCGCTGTTTCTCTCGCTCCACACAACTCGTTTTACGGATTGTCCCTTTACTTACAACACGGAGCACTGCGCTTGCGCGTTAACTCGTTACAAAACAAAGGACATAACATTAACGTGTCCACTTGAAAAACATAAATGAATAAAGCAAGATATTTTTGGTCGCCTTCCATACACATTTTAAACGCTTTAGTTGATTTATTTATTTATAGTCGTTATTTCCTTAACCTCAAACACCGTGACTGACAGCTAACACGAGCAGGAAAGCACTTTCACAGCTAAAACTTGCCGTAAACCCTATTATTTGTCACATTTAGCTAAAAATATGCTTTTCCGAAGCTACAAAGGCTTTAGCTCCCCATGTTTCAATAAAGGGTAAGGTTACTACACAGCTACAAACCTAGTTACACAACCGACGTCCTCGATACACACAGTAACAATAAACGTTTAAGCTAGCTGTGCTTCAGGCCGATAGTAATGAGCTCCAGTACCTGAGAAGATGACTTTTTCACCGTCGGAGTCATTCTGAGGACTGGATTTGGGTTTTTTATTTAGCTAGCTTGTACTCGGTGCCATAACCCTGCGGACGTAGTTGTAGCTCTGTTGATTTGACACTTTAAATCCCCACATACGGGGGTATAGCGCCCCTAGCGGAAATACTAAGAAGTTCACCTTTAAAACAACACGTGGTACGGGTAGCACGATAAAACTTCCGAAAATGACTAATACCGTGATTTTTACCTACTCATCTCACTTGCACTATTAGACATCAAGCAACACCTATGAGTAAAGAGATTAAACTAAAAAAAAGCTATTTGTTACAGGAAGGCAAGACAAAACTGTAGTTTAGAGTAATAAATTCTTTATTTGAATAGAAATGTTATTAATACATGCATTGTAAACACCAAAAAAATGTGGAATATCTTTCTAGAAGTGGCAGCATGACACCGCAGTGTGAATTCAGAACTGGATACAAGTGAATGTGAACCTACTAATCCAAATCACTACACTGGTATGTTGTGTATCCCCAGTCGAAACACATCATTCGTGCATGCCCACGCACAGTTTTGGGATTTCAGCATAAACACTTGATGGAAGGCCATCGGTGGATCATCATCTACCTGTTGGAAATAATTAACAGCAAAATCGTGAAAAACTAAAACTGTAATGTTGGCAGGAATATAAACTTAAATCACATCAGCATAACTCATTAGGACTCTAAAAACACTGCAGTAATGATAATAAAGCACATTGTATTGTAATGTAGAAGCCATACATGTTGTTCAGAGTTAACATACAGAGTAAAAACAGCAGACCCACACACACTGGTAAGAAGTTCTCTATCAAACACTTAATGAACTGCAACACATCATTTATCTACATGCTCTTCAGAAAGTGAAACAGTCATTTGTACTGGGAAAGTGCAGCCTGCCACAGCCAGACTATCATGAAAATAAACATAAAACTTCCCTGCCACCCTGCATTTCACTGGATTTAAAAATGTAACTCTTCCAACCACAAGGGGGCAATCTACAAAAGCTGCTTTCTCAGAGAGAGTAGTATTGGATCCCAACACTCAAAACAATGACACCTGCAGGTCTGAATGATGATTTTAGAATAAAATGTAAATGTTATTTTTTTTGTTTGTTTTTTGGGGTGAACAAGGTCACATGATATACACAATGCCACTGATATTTGTTCCTCCTCATCATTTCTGACTGAGCACAAATTGGGTAAAAAGACCCATTAGTGAGAACATTTTGTGTACATTTGAATAAATTCTGACCAAAACTGTAGTCGGAGAAGTGATTTTACTGCAGATGCCTTGACATGGTGTAAGCTCATCAGTCCTTCAGCCAGATGAATAAAAAACATAAAATAAAATGTGAAGAATCATAGAATACCTGTAGCTGTCCAAACACCATGATGAGGATACAGCTGTCTACTGTGGGCTGGAAGTCCTGTTCTGTGATGATGTGCTTAATGCGCTTGAAAGGCAAGTTCTGTGAATTGTGAACAATATTATTGTTTAGACTGATGTGCTGATGAAAGGAGAGGCGTAAAAATATTATTAATAAATTCACAGACACAACATAACCTGGATTAGAAGCAGCATTTATGGAGTTTCTTTGTGCATGCCGGACCAACAACCTGCTAAAACAAGATACTTACTACTAGTTTGCCAGTTATAGCTTCTCTCCCCTGAAAAGGTGATCCTTCCCACGTCAGACAGGCATCAGGAGACTGCAGAAACATTTTTTCTTTCATAACTATAGGCTCAAAATATTTTTAACATCCAGCGTGATGGAACTGAATAGACATCTGGAAAGCTTACATAAAGGTTACCCAGTCCCATCCTATTGGTATTGTCAAACTGGTTGTAATACTCCTGGACAAAGCCCTCTCCAATCTTTTGCCAAATTTCTTTCTCACAGGCCATGTTTGCAGCTTTGGATCTGTAAAAGAAGACAAGCTAAGTAAAATAAGTCAAGAAATGAGAAGAAACTTGTGTTTATTATTTACACTTAAATAAGACTTTTCTGGTGTCTAATGTGCCTTAAACAAAATATGTATGTAAAAATGAAGGGCCAGTTAAATGACTATCTTAATGGACAGCCTTTTGAAATTGCCAATAAAGGTACTGTCTAATTTAACCCTGCATTTAATGTATTTATATTATTACAGACAGGATTACTTCAGATGTTTGTCACTGTATTTTACAACCTCAATCGCAAAAAACTTATACATAAAAGGAACACAATAAAACATATTTAATGTTTAAACTCAGAAAAAAAGTGCCATTGTTAAGAAAAGGGTACATAAAATTGCAATTGTGAATAAAATACAGCCTTATGCGGTTTGGAAATCACTGTTTGCATTTTGTTTGTGTTCACATTTTACACAGTGTCCCAACATTTCCAGAATAGGACTCATATTTTATTGATTTACACACAATTTCTTATACCATTTTGTTACGTGTGTTGTGTTTAACCTAAGTTTAAGCTGCTGTAACAAAGCAACTTCCCGACTTTGGAGATTTAAAAAAAAAAAAGAAAATATTATCATCTTAAATAAACTTTATTTTCAACCACTGCGAAGGACTGCAGGCAGGATGTAGATGAGTGTCAGGGGTGACTTGTGACATAAACATAGAAGAAAAAGTGAAAGGGAAGGTTTACAAGATGATAGTGAGACCTGCTGACAGAAAGACAGGAGTCGGAAGATGTTAAGATTTTCAGTGGGAGTGAGCAGGATTACAGATGAGTACATCAGAAGGACAGCTTAAAAGAGGCATGCTTTTACAAAAAAGAAAAAAGAAAAGAGCCCCACTCATATTTTAAATGAAAAAACAATGGGTTGCCTCTCGTGCTGAAGGATACAGATGTGACTGCACAGCTGGGGGGAAAATGAGGCCTGCTTCTTTAAGTGGTGTGGTTTCTTCGTGCTAAAGTTTCAACCAGCTGCAGCGACTATAGCAAGAGAAGCAGATTCAAGTCTATTGGGAGTTAACCAAGTTGCTGTCCAGGTATTTTCAGACTAGTTGAGATTAGTTAACGCAGTCGGAATTAAGCAGAATATAAATCGGAGCTGTCGCAATCCTGCCGTTTGTTAACCAGAAACCCAAGCTGCGGTCTCAAAGTTTTGGCTAGCCTCTGCTGCCTTTACCGAGAACTGTTTTTAAAACCTTTGTCTCCACATTAACCTCATTAAACTCGTGTCAACAAATCCTCAGTAACCCGTCATCTTCATTAGACACTTGACTCAAAAAGTACTTTACCTTGTCCGCTATTTTTGCTTGCTTTTTTTTTTCTCCAGCAGCAGACGTTTCGGCGTGGGGAAACGAGTCAAAACGAGGCGACCGGAGTTCCCGCTTCCTCCGACTTGTGACTAACGCGTGACGTCAGCACAAGCCGCCCAATGAGAGAGCCTCGCAGTTCTCCGTCAGGAGCTTTTCCTGCTCACCGAGTCCCACCCTCTAAAACACTAAAACTCAGGATCGCATACATGAAACAGAAACGAGCTTGTCTCAAATATTTTTTAATGATTATCTCAAAATCGTAAACCAAATACATACATGTAAAATTAAACATTTTTAATATCTAATTTGGCAAGTAATCAAAGAACCAGAGCTGAAGCTGTGACCATTATTGGCTAAACTTTGCAAGAAAGGGGCCGCACTGCATTAATCTGTTAGGTACTGTTGCTCCCCTCTCCATGATGAGGTCCAAAGTTCCTCTTCTTCCTATTTAGACTGCAGCTTCATCACTGGCACAAAACATAATCAGCAAGTGACAACTAATCTATAATGTGCTTTTTTTCCTAAAAGGTGCAATCAAAGACGTAGCCTCGTGTCAGAGAGAGGCAGTAAGATAAGGCTCGAAATAAAGTGAATACTTTGAAATGGAAGACGTTAAATGCTTAACAGGATAAGATCAGTATTGCTCGGCGGGTGGGGGTGTAGAAGAGACAAAGAAATACAGCTCAGTTCATAACAGCGTGCAGGTCTTTACAAACACTATCAACAGGAATGTAAGTCATAAAAACAAAGCTGGGTTATTTCTCTGTGTATTATTTGAAGATCTTATTGTACCTTCTATACAGTGCTCTACAGGCGAGTGGGACGACTTTGTCCTCCTGACTTGCCACAAATTTAACATCTTACATTTTCTTCACCATTAGTGAAAACAAAACCAAAGACCCATTCAGGCACTTTAAAAATAATTTTGCTACAGTTCAGTGTTTGTTGCTGCCAGGGAAAGGACTTTCAGGAGCACAGATTGTCTGCACCCACTTGACTTCCAGTGACTTGTTCAGAAAGGCTGCTATTGCTTTGTTGAAGCCACTGCACCAATAGATCCTCCTTGCAATAGGTGGCAGTAAAAGTCATCTGTGCAGTTTGGCCCAACAGGCCTCTGAGGTTAGAACCGAGTTATGTTTTGAACGTTCAAGCGTGTCACTGTTCCGGCTGTGACGTGAAATAATCATCTGTCCGAAACACGCTGGGGACTTCTTGACGCTGATGTGGTGCTGGTCGTCTTGGACTGGCTGGTTTCTGAAAGCAAAGAGACAAAAGTTAAAAACCTAATAAATGAAGTGTGGTTACAACTGCTGGGGGAAACCTTAAAAAGAACACTGACTCCGCAGGCATGATGCTGTTCTTGAACACCATCAATCTTAATCAGACATATAAATAAAAACACTGTGGGTGTTTTTGTTTTTATGAAATCTGAACCTTTACTCATAATGATCTCAATGAAGTCTGGATAGTGACTACAAATGACCTGGGTGGCCTTGATCCCAATCTCTGGACAAACAACAAACGTTGAGCAAATCAAATTCTGTGTGGATGCAACTGAGGTCACTAACGGCAGATCGCCAGTTTCCTCCATGATCGTGATGGAGGCAGTCAATTTTTTTCTTTTTCAGAGGCAATAAATGGCTCAGCAGATATTTCACTATCTAAAAGGAGAGCACCTAATATTTCCCCAAATCTATTTCATTCTATCCCATTTAGACCCAATGTGGAGAAAGTGGGCAGGGCATGTGGTTTTAGCCATCAGCAGCATTTGGGATCCTGGCTAAATGCATTTGATGCACAGCTATGGGTCTTTTGGGAGATTTTTTTTTTTAATCC